TGAAAATTTGGCATTTTTGAAAGCATTTCACTTCAGTTGTGAAGTCGTAGAAATGACTCCTTTTCAGTCAACTCGATTAAAATTTTTTCAATTTTTCAAAGTCTGGAAGTAGCTTTGGAATTATTTAGCGGCCATGGCTGCTGCCATCGAGGTTATAGGTCGTGGCAAGCCCTCTTCATCAAAAAAAATTTTGTGGCCCATTCCCCCCAACCCTCCACACTTCCTCTGTACGAGTTTCAAATATTTTGATAGACTTTTGAGCATTTTTTCCCTGAAAAATTAGCTTTTGTCCCGAACCTGTAAATGTCCAAAATCATCGGCCAATATTCGCTGTTGTTCTCCGGATGCATGTCCTCCAGATGCACGACCAGCTCCAAATACAAACTGAGCATCATATGCTGGAAGGAAGTTGCTTACAGAATCTCTTAAAAATTTCTGTAACAAATGTTTCGAAGTTTTCCTTGCGCCAACCATGATCCTTTTCAAACTGATGATTTTCAATCAGATGAAGAAGCCATGAATTTACTGGGGTTGCAACATTAGAGCCTCTTCCAGTTGTGTACCTTTCCCTTCTTTCATGTAGCTCAATGTCGGTCAGAAAATTCCTAAACAAGAAAGAAAATTCGTCAATTTTTACTTCCCTTTTTGACTTTCTGTAAGTGCTCACCTAGAAGGAAGTAAGTAATAAACCGTAGTCAGTCCTGTTTGATTTTTCAGGCAGGTGTAGCAGGGGACCTAAAAAGACAAAATTTTCTCTGTTATCTATGACGTAAAAGATTTTCTGCAAACTTCAATAGGAAATCCTTTCTCGAGGTAAATTTGGATAATTCTTGTGCCCTTATAATCTTGGTAGTTTTCATTTTCACATCTAAAAATTCAACTTTTTTAGTATCTTCTTCTTTTATTTCTTTACCTCTCCTTGTTGTATTCGGTTCTTCTCAGTCCTGGATTAGATAAGTGAAAAGACGCTATTCGTTCGATATCCATACGCTCGTCTACATGCAAGTGGCTAGGAGCATCTCTCCAAAAAGGACGATGGAAAAGCATTTCATCGTATATGGGATGTCCGCGATCTTCATTTCCATCTTCTCTGTAAAAAAACGTTCAAAACATTGGTTTTCCGTGCGCATGTTAAAAAGAAGAAAAAAACAAGACGCACTCTTGCATAAAAGGCATTAGCTTGGATATCTTGAAGAGGCCACTGAAACAAAATTTAATTCCTTCACCTACGAATGAAGACAAACTTTTACAGGAAAATTTTTCATTTTCAAGGATATTTCACGAATCAGAATTGACGATCATAATTTATGCAAGCATTCTGTGAACTTATCCTTTGATTCACGGATTGTTGGCTGGAAGGCCGGGCTTTGAGGCCAAATCAAGGCTGGGAAATGAGAGAGCACGTTTGCGAGAGGGGCAGACTGCGCTGCAGGTGCGAGCGGTCGCCTTCCAGCCGCCAATCCCGTTGAAACAAAGGGCACGGTAGCCAATTCGCTTCCTTATTTCAAAGGTGGTCACAACAAGGTTTTATAAAGGGCTACGAAGCAGAATAACAGAATTCAACAACAAAAAAAAACAACA